GATCGAACCCGGGTCGCGTACTGTGAAATTTACAGCTAGCGCTAACCATCTGAGTTACCACGGCTTAATCATATACATACACAATATTTAAATAAAATAATACACACACATGAAAATAACAGAAAAAAAGTAATTTAGTCAATAGAATAAACACTTACATCCATAGCCTTTGGTGTATTGAAGTAACACAAATGTACTATTGATAGATCCACTGTAGCCAAACGACCGTACACTAACTCGATGACTGCGTTTGTTGGTCTTATATACCACCAGTACGTAAAAATTCTAATCTAAAGTATTTCCGTAATGAGTTGATAATTACTTTATGCGTCAACCAGTTTATCTCACATTTCCGTTGCCTATCTCAACATTTCTTCGTATTGTGTTTTGTTTGGTGATCAATGACTCAAGTACGATTTGTATAACACAAAAATGCAATTTAATATTTAGAAACATATCAGTTTATCTCACATTTCCGTTGCCTATCTCAACATTTCTTCGTATTGTGTTTTGTTTGGTGATCAATGACTCAAGTACGATTTGTATATCACAAAAATGCAATTTAATATGTAGAAATCACTATAATTGACCATTCCTATGTTATTCATTGAGTAGCTAGGTACTGTAATAATCTACTAATAGCAGTAATATCATGGATACACTAGATGTACAACAACATCTGAAAAAGATTCACCCCAGTCTAGAAAATAATGTTTATGCAGCTAATAGACTGCCTATGTATACCCACGTACCAACGTATATAATATGTAATTTGGATACAGATGATAAACCAGGGTCACATTGGGTAGCTTTATATATCGATACGAATGACGTCGGTCAATATTTTGATTCATATGGACGATCACCTGTACGATATCATCTAGAGTTTTTAAAAAGGAATTGTAAAAGATGGAACTGGAATGTTGATAGGATTCAGAATGAGTGGACTTCAGTTTGTGGCGAATATTGCTTAATGTATTTACTATATAAGTTTCAAGGATGTTCAATACATAGTTTTACGAGTATATTTACAAGGAACACATTGTACAACGATATTTTAGTGGATGAGATGTTTCGCTCCTATTTTATAGATAATAATTAATAAGATTTTGTATTTTATAAATAAAAATTGTAACAAAATTATGTAATGTGTTTTATTGATGATTCAGATTAGCGTTGTATAATTAGGAACAAAGAACTATAACACAATAGCACTGATATAGTCGACGCACACGCTGCAATGAAGGTGATTAATGAACAATAGAACAATAGAAATAGGAACAACAATGGGACGCTAATGACGGTGGAGGCCCTTACCGGATATCAATTAGATATTAGCTAATTGATCTACACATCTCCGGAACCGTGCATTCTACACAAAAATGGACCGCGGATTCGTGATCAGAGCATGCCAAAACCTTTTTTTTTTTTTTAGGATCGGGCGTCGACGAACGTCGTTGAACCACGTCTGACTCAGGTGGTCTAGAAGTGGTACAACTACACTACTGACAGCGAGGAAGGCCGCCGCCCCGTCGCCCCTTCACACCCCGTTGCGCCCCGCGCACCCCGCACACCGGCAGCAGATCACGCGATGTCGCCGACCAATCAGCGCACGGCATCGCCTTACGACGCTACTCACGAACCGAGACGCTCTTTTGCGGGATATAAGAAGGGCGTTTTGGTCTGTGAGCTGTTCATTTCACTTCAAAAGCGGCACTAGAAGAAGCAGCAAGAGAAATCAAGAAGAATCAAGACTCCAGAGAAATCCAGAAGACTCCCCTCTGTACATAGTATAGTTTATAGTGCCACATTTGTAAATAGTTGAATACAGTATAGTTCTTAGTACCATCTTTTCTTTAAGCAGTTCCCTAGCGTAGTCATACAGTCCACTTGCAAAGTAAATTAATACAGTCCACTTCGATCCCCAACAATTACGATAAAATCAAGGACCTCAGTCTGAGCGAGATTAGAACGGCTGCTCTAATGGCAAGGCCCCGAGCGAGGATGGAATTGCACCGAAGCTTTTGAAAGCGGGTGGAAAACCAGTACTTGAAGTCCTTCAGAAGCTCTTTATTTCCGTGGCACTACTTCGGAGGCGTGGAACAGAAGTGCAGTGGTCTTGTTCTTCAAGAAAGGCGTCAACACTCTCGTGAAGAACTACAGACCGATTTCCCTTCTGAGTCGCATCTACGTGCTTTTTTCGAGAGTCATTATGAATTATCTCGCACGCAGACTCGACGACTTCCAGCCTCCCGAACAAGTCGGTTTCCAAAAAGGCTTTAGTAACATAGACCACATATATACCCTTCGGCAAATTGTACAGAAGATCAAAGAGTACAATCTGCCACTTTGTCTTGCGTATGTGAACTATGAGAAAGCCTTTGATTCCGTCGAAATTTGGGCGGTGCCGCAGTTCCTTCAGCGGTGCCAAGTTGACTGTCGGTATATCGAAGTGCTGAAGTGGTTGTACAGTAGGCTTATGATGGCTATCCGAGTACAGAACCAGAGTATGAAACCTATCCAACTGGAGAGGGGTGTAAGACAGGGTGACGTAATATCCCTAACTCTTCACCGCTGCATTGGAAGACGTTTTGAAGCTACTAGACTGGAAATGATATGGTATTAACATCTATGGCGAGTACATCATTCACCTTCGATTTGGCGACGATATAGTCCTTATGGCAGAATCGCTGGAGGACCTAAGCACTATGCTCAATGACCTCAATAGTGCTTCCCAACGGATAGGTCTTAAGATGAACATGGACCAAACAAAGATCATGTTTAATGTCCATGTCACACCTATGCCGGTAGTTGTTGGGAGCACTAAGCTCGAAGTTGTTGACGAGTATGTTTACCTGAGACAAATAGTCCGACTAGGTCCAACTTCGACCGAGAGGTCAATCGACGGATTCAACTCGGCTGGGCAGCGTTCGGGAAGGTACGACACATCTTCTCGTCAGACATACCTTAAAACCTTAAAACGAAAACCTTAAAACGAAATTGTATAACCAGTGTGTGTTGCCAGTGATGACTTACGGATCTGAGACGTGGTCCTTTACTGCTGGCCGTATGAGGAAGCTCAAGGTCGCTCAGCGAGCTGTGGTGAGGGCTCTGCTAGGGGTTTCTCTGCATGATAGACTTAAAAATGAGGATATCCGCAGTAGAACTAAAGTAACCGACATCGCCCAACGGAATTAGTAAGCTGAAGTGGCATTGGGCCGGCCATATGGCTCAAAGAACTGACAACCGATGCAGCAAAAAGGTTCTCGAGTGGCCGCCTCATACTGACAGGCGAAGTGTAGGGCGTTCCCCCACTAGATAAAGTGACGAACTGATAAGAAAAAGAAGAAAGATGCAGAAAGTAAATGGATGCAGGTGGCTTGGGACTGTGCTTTGTGGCGTTCCTTGGGCGAGGCTTATATTCAGCAGTAGACTCGTGAAGGGCTGTAATGATGATGAAGATGAGATTTAGTTGTGTCTCGCCAGCAACGCAAAGTCGGGAATTTGCATTTGGAAATATCCAAAATTAGGGGCTTTTTAGGTGCTAATTAGGTGCCAAGTTTAAAAATTAGGCGCTCTAAAATTTTCACCGCAACGAACTGTTGAAATTTGCATTGCTAGCAAAACGTCTCGCTAGCAACGCAATGAAGTTATTAGATATACGATAAATATTAATAGCAAGGAATTAAGTGCTTATTAGGTGCTGCAAGTGAACGCAATAACAAGGCGCCCCTAATAAAAATAAAGTCCTTATTCAGAACATAGCAGATGCAAAATTCAGATTTCCTGAAAATCAAAATAGAATCAAAATTGCTTTCAGAAAAAGTCCAAATTAGGGGCTTTTTAGGTGCTAATTAAGTACCAGGTTTAAAAATTAGTTGCTCCAAAATTTTCCCCGCAACGAACCATTGAAATTTGCGTTGCTAGCAAAATGTATCGCTGGCAACGCAATGACGTTACACAGTGATGCACAGACTTATTAAGACTAGGGGCCACTCGGGCAAATTATGAACTGATGGCGTGCCGCCAGAAGTATAGGTAATTAAAGACAATAAAGAATTGATAATAATGTATTAAAATTGAAAAAGAATTTATTAATTTGAAGCGTGGCACTGCATAGTGCTTACACAATCTTTTTTATATTTGGCTCAAATTTACTTGTAGCAACACGTAAAACTGCTTCCAAACTTTCATTTGCAAGGCGGTTTCGATTTTTTGTTTTACTATTATTTACTATTGAAAAGGTTTGTTCAAATATATAGGTAGATTCAAATAAGCTGGCACATTTCAGAGCGTTTATGCGCAAGTCTTTGTACGTATTTTTATCAATGCAGTGGTAAAAGTTCTGCAAGTCTCCTTCGTTGAATTTGTTGAATGTCGATAATTTCTAACTGCATTGACTCTGGCGCATTTTCAACTGAAATCGTGAAAGGATTGCTGAATATGTCCAACAGAGGTTTCACTTTTTTAAACTCCGAAAATCTGTCTTGAAAAGATTGAATCAAAATATCTAGCTTTTCTACATAACTGAAATTAATCGCAGTTTTGTTGAATTTTTCAGCCAGTTTCTTATAATTCGGAAAATGATTGTAATTTCCAGAATTCAATTGCGATGTGAAAAGTGTCAGCTTGCATTGAAAGGATGATACATGAGCGTAGAGCTGGGATATCAGTTGATTTTTGCCTTGAAGCCGTGTGTTCAAGACATTCAAATGATTTGTAATATCAACTAAAAAAGCCAAATCACACAACCAATCAGGATTTTTAAGTTCCGGGACATCCCTTTGCTTTTCCGCCAGAAATATTCCAATTTCTTCTATTAAATTTAGAAATCGTTCCAGTGTCAATCCACGACTTAGCCACCTTACTTCTGTATAATACAGTAAATCTTCATATTTGCTTTCGATGTCATCAAGGAATTGCTTGAATTGCCTGTGATTGAGTCCTCGTGATTTTATGAAATTTACAGTCGAAACTACCACTTTTATGACATTTTGAAATTATTTTTTTTTAGAACAGAGGGCTTCTTGGTGTATAATGCAGTGAAACTGCATGAGATCTTCAGCGTTTATGTTTTTTTCTTGCAGATGCTTTTTCAGCAAAGTAACTAGCCCAGAATTGACACCAATCATCGAAGGAGCACCGTCAGTCGCAACTCCCGATAATTTTGATAAGTCCAAATCAGTTTTTGAACACTCATCCAAAAGTACATTGAGTATATCAACTCCTCTGGTTTGATCTTTCAATGAACACATTCCTAATAACTCTTCTAAGACTTCAAAATCTTGAGTAACACCTCGTATGAATATCAGAAGTTGAGCTGTGGAACTAACATCAGTGGATTCGTCGAATGCTAATGAAAAAACTTCAATGATCTTAGTTTTTTCATTTAATTGTTCCGCAATATTACCTGACAAAGACATAATTCGTCTTTGGATAGTCATACGATTCAGTTGAATTTTCTCAAACTTTTTTGCTGCTTCTGGACACATTTTCTTAGCGGCAATTTCTATGCATTCTTTTACAAAATCCCCATCATTGAAGGGGCGACTTCCCTTTGCTATCATTCGAGAAATTTCATAACTAACTTCTGTAGCTGTTTCTGAATCTTAAATGGGTTTTGTAAACATAGCTTGCTGACCAATAAGCTCCCGTTTTAAAGACAACATTTTTTGCTTTCTTAATTCGCCTGTAAACTTGGTAAAAGTAGGATGCTGCGTTTCATAGTGCCTTTTTACATTATATTCCTTTGCAATCGCAACAGAATTCTTGCAAATTAAACAAACGACTTTGTTATGCGACCATGCAAAAAAGTATTTCTCAGTCCAAATTTCTTGAAACTGCCGATTTTCATCTTTAACCTTACGTTTTTTACTAGGTCCTGGCTTGTCCATGTTGCGTTCTAATCCTGGATAGGATTCACAGCACCTAAAAACAATTACAGTACCTACTTAAATTACCCATCCTTTTATAAATTACCAAAAATAATTGATTAGATAGGTAGGGAAACACTTATTAATAACAGAGTTTTACTTACGATTTCACAACACAATTATACACGACACTTGACGGGAAATCTACGTTGAATGTGGATTAAAATATATGACACCGGCTAGTCGAGTTAAAATCTACACTAGAACTATTGACACCTCACTCAAATTAAAACCGAACTGTCGGTCGCTGCGGTTAGCGTGGCTTTTATACCGCGCGTATAGAGTCGAAAACTGTCTCTAGAAATCACGAAACCGACTCTGGAAACTTCGTGTATCTACCTACGCGAGCAATCGGGAATTCGGGACTATTGCTATCTCGCTTGCTCTAACAATATAACCCGTGGATAAGCCGCCACCGCGCTGCCGTCGTCGCCGCGCCGCTGGCCGCGGCGGTTCCTCAAGAAAACGAATTTAACCGAGATCAGCACGAACATTACCGACCGCTGTTACCGACGCATGCACGGCGCACCGATAAGCGCACTTAAGAGCGCGCGCGCGAGATTCAAATTACTTTTCGAACATATTTTTTTTGGTTTTATTCTGGAATATAATTCAATATTTTTCGAATGTACGAGAGTATTATTTTTGCTGTCGGCGGGCCACCAGTATTCGACCGGCGGGCCGCATGCGGCCCGCGGCCCGCGGTCTGTGCATCTACGCGTTACTAGATATACGATTAATAATAATAGCAAGGAATTAAGTGCTAATTAAGTGCTGAGTGATTATCGAGACCCGATACAGATTAAGATATTATTCTGGGAATTATGGGGTCCACGACCACCATTACCTTACCATAATGTATGAACGGTATTTTTTGTTCTTTATCAGTGCCCAAAAAATTAAGTGCTAATTAGGTGCTGAAAGATTAATGAGGTCGCATGTAGATGACGGTAATATTCTGGAAATTATCCGATTTAAAACCACCATTACCTTACTATAAGGTATGAACGGCATTTTTTGTTTTTCAGATTTAATTTAATTTATAATATAATTTAATATAATTTTCAACCAAATAATTTTTTATAGGATAGGGTGACAAACGAGCACACAGTCCACCTGATGGTAAGTGGTTGCTGTGGCCCATAGACATGTACATTTATCCTCGTTTGCGAATCAAAATGCAGATGCGTTGTCAGCCGTGAGGACTAAGATGGAATGCCTCTTCTCCAGTAAAAAGTGTCTCCGGTTCTCTACACTCATCATACGAAACACAGCAGTGTTAAGCTGCTATTTTACGCTGGTATTCTGTGAGAGCGTGGTCCTTCCCCGGTCGAGCCGACCCATTCGTGCTACAACTATACTAATAATATAGCTGCAGCATGGCTCTACCACGTAAAATAAATGTTACAATTCTTATTTTTAAACATGTGAAGTCTAAACTTTAGTGTACTAAATCAAAATAATATTTTCTTACCATTAAAATTGCTTCATAATTAATATCGCCATCTACATCTTTCTATAGTTTTTTTATCATTTTATCGAACCAAAATCGATGGACTCTCAAGGTGGTAAGTGCGATAGACGCTAGATGGCACAAACACAAAGACCTGATTTTTGCATTTGCTTTGCTGAATAATTTTCTGAATAACGACTTTATTTTTATCTGGGGCGCCTTGTCATTGCATATACTTGCAGCACCTAATTAGTACTTAATTCCTTGCTATTAATATTTATCGTATATCTAATAACTTCATTGCGTTGCTAGCGAGACGTTTTGCTAGCAACGCAAATTTCAACAGTTCGTTGCGGTGAAAATTTTAGAGCACCTAATTTTTAAACTTGGCACCTAATTAGCACCTAAAAAGCCCCTAATTTTGGATTTTTCCAAATGCAAATTCCCGAGTTTGCGTTGCTGGCGATACACAACTATGAGATTTTACAATACTTGGTTTTAGCGCCATCTATGGTGGTGTCATAGAAAGTTTATGCAGTAACTTCATTAGTTATTTAATAAATTGAATTAGTGTCTTGATTTAAATAATTATTAATCTATTTACAAACGGCTTACTACCTATATTATATTGTTAAATATTAATTCGAAAGCAATCGATATCTAGAGCTACTTTCGACCTCACTCATAAAAAATCCAAAGTTACTCTTTCTATTTCTCTCTTAACTAAATGACAACAGAAAGAGATAGGTTTACGATTTATTAACGATTATAAGTAAGGGAGCATATTATTAAAGAACTTGTAAATGCCTCTTATGCTGTATGAACATGCAGTAATACTATTATCACGTTTTGTCATATTTGTTGTATTAGCGTTAATCGTTTTGCTATTTAAAGTTATAATTTTATTGTTGTACAGATGTCGCATTAATGAAGCTTATAGAATTGCATATAAATTAATTAATGTATTATTAATTAATTTATATGCAACTTCTATAAGCGCCATCTTTTAGTTGTTCTCAGAGTAAATAAATGTATTAATGCTGCTCTACACTAGATGTCGCGTTGCGTATTTGCAGCACAGTAAGGCCGGCCACAAACATACGGAATTCCGTTTCGTGATTCCGTTTCGAAATCCCGAATCAGGATTCCGTGAATACGGCCCGCCACATACATACGGAATCCCGTTTCGAGATTCCGTTTCGGAGTTCCGAACGGTCGGCCACACACAAACGGAATCCCGTTTTGCCCGCAAAATATCGAACGGAAAACTACCGTACGTGTGTGGCGGGTCATAGATTTTATATGGACTTGCTGCGTTCGGGATTCCGAATCGGAATATCGAAACGGAATCTCGAAACGGAATTCCGTATGTATGTGGCCGGCCTACATCACACACACACGTTTTTTTCCCGTTCGGAATAACAAGGGTCAGTTGAGAGACGTTAGCCATTGAGTCTAGACATTCTGCCAGCGAATAATGACGACGATTTTCTAATTACAAATTCCATTGTTGCTGTATCATTCTTACTAGGTGCATCCCCTTATCACCCTAAGCTTGCAATATAGTCAAGACTATGTAAAAAGATCTATCTATTCAGATATATTTTTTAAATATTTATGTATGTAAATTCTATCGACGAAAGATTAAATAAAATAAGATGAAAGAGGTTACGAAAAGCTATACACCTACAAGATTAAATCTAAAAACATCCATAAATATGGACTTGCTGCGTTCGGAATTCCGAATCGGAATATCGAAACGGAATCTAGAAACGGAATTCCGTATGTATATGGCCGGCCTAAACCACAAATAAACACAACTATTTTGGCAGTTGGGGATCTACGCAATTCTAATTTGTTACCTGAATTCTTTATATTATAACAAGTCATTTTAATATAAAGGATGTTATTTCATCAAAAGTACACCTTTCCTTTTCATTTGATTGACATTATTTAAATTTAAGTATAGCAATAATTTATATATAAAATTTAAGTAAGAAGTATTGCAGGTGCGTTGCTGGCCTTTTAAAAGGATTAAGCTCGTTACTCGAGGGTCCCTAAGTCGTATCGGTACAGGAAAATTGCCAGTAGTAGACGATATAAATATACAATCTCTTCCACTTGCCCAGCTAGCTGTCCTTCTATTCTTATTTCACCTTTAGGCCAAGAACGCACTAGGGGCGGGCCGTGATGCGGGGTGTCGTTGCGGCAGGCCGCAGTGTATAGTGGTCTGCCGTAACGCCACTCCGTATTCCGGCTAACCGCATCGTCTCGTTTCTATTGCGGTTCACCGAAATCGTCAGCGCTTCGAGAAATATTGGACATAATGGACATCGAAGAAGTTGCTGCAGTTATTTATTTATACCGATTCCAGTATTTTCGATTTGAATCGAATCGGAGATCGATTTTTCGTTAAGCGAATCAACATGACTGGCTTGCCACGAACCGCAGCGAGTGCGTGGAGGGGCTGTGGCGCGCCGCATCATTCAACCAGTGCGGTTGACGGCAGGCTGCAAGTCATTGCCCCGATATCATGCGGTTTCATAGAAAATCGAAGGCCGCATCTAGGCCAAGGCTAGTGCGTTCTCGCACTTAGGGATGTTAAACCTTTAAAAGTTCGAGTACGTGTACGTCCTCTTGATACTGACACAAGTACTGGAGTCCCTAATAAAGAGATATTACGCCTGTATCTGGTGGATATGGATAAAAATTGATATTACGCAAGTCTCCTGCAGAATACAGGAAGTAGAGTTGAGGTAGAGCCCTTCCATGTTTGCGTTAATACTTAGCAAAGTTGACAACCATTACTTTTTTAAATAAATTGAAGTGACAAGCGAACTTCCAGTTCTGCTGATGTTAAATGGCTGCTGCACTTCATAGACACCTGGAACCAACTTCAAACGTAGAAGGCTACAAAAGCGTTCTCACGTGTTAGGACTAAGAAGGAATGTTTCACAGCCTGTGATTATACTGACTCTTAGGGTCTATCCTTTATACCGCAATACAGCGGTTCAAGCACTGCTAAGACAGAAATCACTGGAAGCGACAGTAGCCTAATAAAAAAGTAGACCGCGAACTTAATAGGTTGTGGGTTCAAAAGATAAAGACAGCTAGTCAGTAGGAAATCTACCGCCAAGAACTATAAAACAAAATTATTATAGTTATTAGCGCTGTTTTGGTA